ATTTTTAAATTTTTTTCGGCCGTAGTCTTCTATAGAAAACCGTAGTAGTCCGTAGTCATGTATAGACACTCGTAGGATACTGTAGTAATTCGTAGTCACGTATATTTAAAACCCTAATTCCTCCTTCGAACCCTAGCCGCCAGACATTATAGACACCCATAGATACTCGTAGACGTCTATAGACTTGAAATCGAAAAATCTTAGATCCGCCCCACCAAACCGTAGATCTCCTCCACCAAAACCCTAGATTTGTAACACCGACGTCATCTGGCCGCAAAAGATGCCACAAAACCGCACCCAGGTTGCCAACCCCCCCCCCCCCCCCCAACGTCGAGCACGACCAACACCATCTCCAGCCCCTGAGCGTCGCCACCCAATGAGCCCCATCCTCATGACCAACGCCGCTCACCGTCGCCGCCGCCCCAGAGCCGCCGCTGCCATCGCCATCACCATCCCTCCCTCCATGCCACCGCCTCCAACACCATAGTGGATTCCATCGTCATAGCCACCACCTCCTCTCAAATCATGGGATGGAGTGTGGCGAGAGATATCTTAAGATCTAGAGAAATAAATGGAGTGATTGAGATAGAGAGAGCCAGAGAGAGAGCGAGACAGAGAGAGAAGAAGAATAAAGATGAAAAATAGATCTGAGAATAAACGTGAATATGTGGGTTATAAAATTTAGGGTGTAAGGGCAGAATAGGGATTAGAAAAAAAAGGATGTGGGTCATATATTATTTCAATCTAAGGATTTAATTAAAAAATTGGAATTAGACTTGTCATTAGTTCAAATTAAGTTTCGTATGAGGGGCTCCTAGCATATTACCCCTATAAATTAATAGGTCATTACTACATTATACATGTAATATTAATCTATCACCTTTTCCATTTATTTAAAATTTCAAATAGATCATTTTGTTAACATAGGGGGGAGTTAGTGAGTTTTTTTTCTACAGGGGGTATTTGACAATTAGAGACTACACAGGGGTGGTATTTGCAATTACCTCATGTATATAACATAGAAATATATGGGAATATTATTTTTTGAAAACAAGAATGTGTAGTTGCACACTTGCACACCCTAGACAAACGGTGTATCCGCCACTGTCTAAAATACTTGTGGAAATATGTTAAATATAGGAATGAAATTATTTTAACTAATTAAAATAATTATTTTAAATGTATGATGTGTTCAAATTAATATTTTTTTTCGAAAAAAAGGAAAAAATATTTTTTGTTTGTAAATTAATTCCTTAGTGGGGTTCGGTCAACATAAAAAATCATGAAAAATGAAATGTGAAGAGGTAAATACAGAATGCACTGTGTGCTTGCTTGTAAAATATTCTATAACATATTGACAGAGGATTCATAAGAATATGAATTGTAAAATATTCTATAACATATTGACAGAGGATCCATAAGAATATGAATTGTAAAATATTCTATAACATATTGGCAAGCCGTCGATCCACTATTGACATGATTTTGTGATTTTAGACCAAACATCATGCATATTGTGATTGTTTGACTGGTTAGTTAATGGTTAGAGATATGTAATAATTTATCTATATAAACAAGGTGCAGTTTGCAACTTATTCACATCAATCTTTCGTTTAATTCATTGCATTTAAATCTTGTATTTCCAAGTCTTGTGTGGCGAAAAGAGTAAAAAACAAAAATGAAAAGAATGATTTCGAAGTTTTTAGGCAAGAAGCCAATGGCCACGGCCTTAAGGTCATATGCATCTTCAACGGAGTCTTCTGCTCGGAACAGTAACGTGTCAGTTACCAACGCATCGGAATGTACCCCTCGAAGCAGTACTGTCACAACCATCCCATCCGAGTACACCCCTCGGAACAGTACTGCGGCGAGAACCACTCTACTCGATTCGTCTCCAAGGTACAGCACCGTGACAACGATCCCACCCGAGTCCCCCCCGGATTCCCCATCTCGTTACAGCCAATCATCACGAGGGAGATCAACTAGCCCACCGGACTCCCCGTCTCGTTATAGCCACTCATCACGGGGAAAATCAACCACCCCACCTGGTTCCCCGTCTCGTTACAGCCAATCGTCACGAGGAAGATCAACCACCCCATCCGGCTCCCCCTCTAGAAATAGCCGACACTCTAGAGGAAAATCTCGCAAGAAGAGATCAAAATCTCAAAAGAGACAATCCATCGAACGTATTGCAATGAGGAGCCAATTCGTCTGTTGTACATGCCCAGAGCACCACGCCATAAAACGCATAAGCGCTAAGGCACTCGCTCTACACTATGAACAAAAGCACAACAATCTATTCAACTTGGGACATAGGTGCACTTGCGGCAACTTTTTCAAAGATGATAAAGCTCTTAGGAAGCACAAACGTAACTGTTTCATTTCAACATGCCCTACAATTAGACAGTTTCGCGATTATCGGATCGAAATTGTGAGGGCGGAAAACAAGTTGAAAAAATCTGGTGACAGTGAAAATGATGTGAAATCTTCCGGATCTGGTAGTGCACTACAAACTTCTTCGGATTCTGGCTCTCGAGATGGTGGTGATTATGAGGAGGAGGATGATGATGAGGGTGATGAGAGTAGAGATGATGACGAGGATGACGAGGATTGAAGTGTTTAGTATCTACTGTTCTTCCTTAATACTTATTATTATTATTATTATTATTATTATTATTATTATTATTATTATTATTATTATTATTATTATTATTATTATTATTATTATTATTATTATTATTATTATTATTATTATTATTATTATTATTATTATTATTATTATTTTTATTATTATTATTATTATTATTATTATTATTATTATTATTATTATTATTATTATTATTATTATTATTATTATTATTATTATTATTATTATTATTATTATTATTATTATTATTATTATTATTATTATGTTTACTGTTTACTGTTTAATTTATCTTCTTTAAGGTTTTAGGGTTTAATTATGTGTCAAGTTTGTAGGACTTATCTTCTTAAGTTTGTATTTAGGATTTATTCAAGTGTCGTGTGTTTTGAATGAAGTACTTATCTTTATGTTAAGTTTATTTAATTTTCATCGTTATTCACAACAATCGTATAGATAAATTCTTAAATATCCTTAATTTTCAAATTCTTAATTATATTAGTACTATATTTATAATATTGATGTATTAATTTTCAAATGATCGATCAGCTAAAGATATATTAATATAATATCAACAAGATATAATTAAAACGTCAAAATAAGTTTGTTGTTTGTGCACCTTATCTAAATAAATCATTAATCACTCAAAAAGGGAAAAGCATAATAATATTCTGCAAAAATTGCTGATCTCTTCCTAATTTCTTTCAATTCTCATTTTTCCACGTTTCTTCTCAGAAGTCTTCTTCCGTTATATCACTTTAACTGTTAACCAAATTGAAGAATTCTTTACTACTAGAAAAATAAATAATACAGGTAAAGAAATATACTAATTAATCCATTTGAATTTCTCTTATAATATTTTTACTTTATTTTTATTAAATTAACGGGGCAGTCACGTCCTGCGACAGAGGGCTGAATGGAGGAGGATTTGGAGAATTGGCAATTAGGGTGGTGATGAAATAGAAGAAATGGCATATAGGAATCTCAGAATTTGGAGCTCTGGTGTATGCTTCCATGGACGGTTGCTCGTCTGACGTTGTTGTCGGATATCTTGCTCGTCTTGTGCAGCCACCATTTCTCGATATGAGGAGTTTGAAGAGGACATGCGCACGTCTCTTCTGATTTCCAGTTTGAGATCTTGCAAGAAGTGATTCTTTTTATCTTCGGCATATTTGGCAATGTAAGGGGCATAGATGCAACCTTGTTAAAATTTTCGGACGTATTCTGCTAAGGACTGATTTCATTGCTTCATATCTAGGAATTCTCTCATCTTCTGGGTTCGGATATCCTTGGTGAAATACATCTCAAAGAAGCGAGTCTTGAATGTGGTCCAGTTGGTGTTGGTTAAATCGATGCCTTCCTTGGCGCCTTCCCATATATCAGTGTCGGAAACGTTTGTACACGGCTTGTGAGGCATTATTTCCGAGGACAAGGAGGAGGAGGAGGAGGTTGTGGGTTAGTATTTTGGAGACTTATCAGGCGTTGGATTTGGTCGTTCCGTTCTCGGATAACAGCGGTAAGGTCTTGGACAGTGGAATCTTGGTTAGGGGGGTTATGGGTAGGGTTATTAGCGTTGCTATTTTGCCATCTCGTCATTTTACTCTTTAATCTATCTATACTCTATGCTATCTATAAAAGGAGGAATGCTAGGAAAGTTTCTTCCATTTTATGTAGAGACAAAATTATCCCTACATATACTTTAGAGTATATAGAAATCAAAGGACAATGACGTAATTTAGTTAATATTTCATTCAAAGATTAAGTATACAAGTAACTTTTCATATTCAATGTGTGTTTTTAATATTTTATTTCTATTGTAACTTCTAAACTAATTTAAAGTTTGAAAACATATTTTATTCATATTAAAGTACATTCAAAGAGTTTTATAATAAGATATTATTTGACTATATTTCAGTCATCATTAAGCTCAAATAATTTATTTATGATATGTTTTAATTTGTCAATATTCAATCAGTTATAGTAATTTCAAGATAATAAAGGGAAAAAAACGCATAAAAATAAATAGATTAAATTGAAAAAATAATTCCACAACTTATTATATTAGATAAAATAAATATTCCTAAAATTTGAGGTGCTTATTAGCCGTATATTTATTTACATATATATTATAGATAAATATTGTATTATTGGTATGTATATCTCCTAGTTCCCTTGTGTAAAGGGTTAGGGTTTTCACACATGTAATATATATATCACAATAAACGTGAGAGATAATTATTCTCTCTTCTCTCAAATTATTCTCCTTCTATCATGGTATCAAGCCAAAAACCCTAAGCCGCCGTTTCTCTCCTTCTTCAATTTTTTCTTTTCTCGTTCTTTATTCTGCTCTGCATCCACCATGGCCGACGAAACACCAACACCGACCATGATTTCCAACCCTTTTCATCTTGCTCATGCCATATCCAACATCAAAGCTCTTATTCCTGTTACCCTGGATATTAAAAATCCGAACTATCAAAAGTGGAGTCATTTCTTCATCATCACCGCAGGCCGTTTTTGCCTCACCGATCTGCTTCTCGGAAACGCAAAGCCCACCAACATCTCCGCTGACGAATGGCAACGCGCGGATTACCTCCTCCAATCTTGGATCTATGGCACCATAATCGAGGACCTCTCAAGCATGGTCCTCTCCAAAACCGCAAAGGCTCATGATCTGTGGAAGGCCCTCGCCTCTCTCTTTACAGACAACGAAGACTATCAGGCCATCCAACTCGAAGAACAGTTCAAGTCCCTCAAGAAAGGATCTCTTTCGATCCATGACTATTGTCAACTTCTCAAAACCACTGCCGACAACTTGGCAGACGTCGGCAACCCCGTGTCAGACAAGCAACTCGTCCTCCAAACCCTCCACGGTCTACCAAAACATTACGGGACCATTGTCAATCTAATCTCCTTCCAAACTCCGTTACCCTCTTTTCTCCAAACACGTTCACTACTCCAGATGGAAGAACAGCGCATTGCTGAACCGGAGCAGACCCCTACTGTTCTCTACACATCTCGCCCCAACAGTTCCAACAGTTGGCCGAACAGTTCCAACAGTTGGCCCAACACTCCCAGCAATTATCGAGGTGGTGGTTCTTGGCGCAATCAGCGAGGTGGCGGTCGCACAAATCGTCGTGGCGGTCGTGGTCAGTCACGACATCCGATGCAACACTACGGTTACAATCAATTTCACAACCATTACGGTTACAATCAATTTCTTATACGCCTCAGACATCTTCATCGATTCTTGGACACCCCCCCCCCCCCCCCCAAGGACCCCCCCCCCCCCCCCCCCAAGCTCTCCTGGTCCTTATCATGCTCCTACAGCTCATGCTTATTTCGTTGGACAGCAAGATCCCCAACAGCACGTGAACTGTTCCAACAGTTCGTCGAACAGTGGTCCGCCCCTACAGCCAACAGATCTTGCCACTCATCTCAACACGTTGACTCTTCAGTCATCAAGCGAACCTCAGTGGTTTATGGACACGGGCGCCTCATCTCACATGGCACCTCACTCAGGTAATTTCCATTTTATTTTTAATCCTAGTAATAATTTCCCCAAGCATGTCATCGTTGGTAATGGCTCCACTGTTCCTATCCATAAAATTGGCCACACCATCCTACCCTCTACCCCATTTCGTCTAACCAATGTCTATGTTACTCCTCACATCATTAAGAACCTTGTGTCTGTCCGAAAATTCACTAGAGATAACTCTTGTTCAGTTGAATTTGACCCTTATGGCTTTTCTGTGAAGGACCTTCGGACCAGAGCAGTCATCCTCAGGTGAAATAGCTCCGGTGATTTATACCCTATTGGCGCCCCTTCTCCCAGCCCATCCGCAACCGCCCTCCTTGCTCACACCACGCTTGTCTCCTCTACTACATGGCATCGTCGTCTCGGTCACCCGGGAAACCCTGTCATGTCTCGTCTTTTTTCTTCCAATTTTATTTCTAGTACCAAAGACCCACGGGAGTCTCTTTGTAATGCTTGTCAATTAGGCAAACATTCTCGCTTACCTTTCTTTACTAGTCATTCTATTACCGTTGCACCTTTTGAAATTATTCATGCTGATTTATGGACCTCTCCTATTTCTAGTATTTCTGGTTTCAAATATTACCTCGTGTTAATAGATGATTTCACCCACTATACATGGACTTTCCCCATACACTATAAATCCGATGTTTTCTCACTGTTCCAACAGTTTCACAAACTTATACAAACACAATTTCAGCACCCCATTAAAGCTTTACAATGCGATAATGGACGTGAATTAAAAAATACAGATTTTCAAACATATTTTGCCAAACACGGTATCTTACACCGTTTCTCATGTCCCCACTCTTCCCCTCAAAACGGACATGCCGAACGCATGATCCGCACCATCACAAACATGATCCGCTCACTTCTCTTTCAAGCTTGCCTTCCCCCCACCTATTGGGTCGAAGCCCTTCATATGGCTACACATCTCATCAACATCCTTCCTACCAAATCCACACAAAATCGCACACCACATGAATCCCTTTACAAATCCAAACCCACATACTCTCACCTTCGTGTCTTCGGTTGTCTCTGTTATCCTAACTTAACCGCCACCACTCCTCACAAACTCGCCCCTCGCTCTACTCCTTGTGTCTACCTTGGTCACCCCTCATCGCACAAAGGCTATCGTTGCCTCGATCGATCAACCGGTCGAATCATTATCTCCCGTCATGTGATCTTTGATGAAAGTCGTTTTCCATTTGTTGAATCCACCGACTCATCCCACAACTCCCCCACCTCTAATATGACCGAACCCATGCACCCACTTATCCTTCTTTCTCAACCTCAACCAGTCCAACCTACTGTTTCGCACAACTGTCCCAACAGTTCATCCAACAACACTACAGAACCACCTACTGTCTCATCCAACTGTCCCAACTGTTCGTCCGACAGTCCCCCCTCAACTCCACCCATGCCCCTCAACCCGGCTGAACCTCCACACCCAGCAGAACCACAGCCTCCCCCTCCCGCTTCCTCACCCCCACCCAACCATCCTATGCTGACACGCAGCAAGGCCGGTATTCACAAGCCCAAAATCCCCTTTTCTCTTACCGTGTCTACCTCATCCCCAACTCCCACTACATATCGCCATGCCCTCCTTGATCCAAACTGGCGTATGGCCATGCTTGAGGAATATACTGCTTTGATTAAAAATAACACATGGGATATTGTGCCCCGTCCCCCTTCTACTAATGTTATCAGTGGCAAGTGGTTATTTAAGCAGAAATTGAAGGCTGATGGTTCATTGGAACGGTATAAAGCACGATGGGTTGTTCGCGGTTTTGATCAACGCCCTGGCATTGATTTCGAAGAAACATTCAGTCCGGTGGTCAAACCAGCAACTGTTCGGACAGTTCTCAGCATTGCCACCTCTCACTCCTGGCCGGTCCATCAACTGGACGTTAAGAATGCATTCCTCCACGGCAATCTCTCTGAAACCGTGTACTGCGAACAACCACCTGGCTTTGTCGACCCTACTCGTCCCACTCATGTATGTCGTCTTCGAAAGGCTCTTTATGGTCTCAAACAGGCACCACGTGCGTGGTACAAGAGATTTGCCGGCTACATCACCTCCCTTGGATTTATCGAGTGCAAATCGGACACCTCCCTCTTTGTGTATCGCACGGGCTCTACAGTTGCTTACCTCCTATTGTACGTTGACGACATAGTTCTGACAGGTTCCAGAGCAGCCACTCTTCAGTCCATCATTACCAAACTCCACCAAGAATTTGCTATGAAGGACCTCGGCCCCCTACACTACTTCCTTGGCATATCTGTTACACGCTCGTCCGAAGGGATGGTCCTCTCTCAACGTAAATATGCCGAGGAGATCCTTGAACGTGCTAAGATGACTTCATGCAACCCGTGCCTCACCCCAGCAGATACCAAAACAAAGCTCTCCGCCAACTCTGGCCCCCCTGTCGCCGACCCTTCTCTCTACCGGAGTCTTGCCGGCGCTCTTCAATATCTCACCTTCACACGGCCAGACATCTCCTATGCCGTGCAACAAATCTGCCTTTTCATGCATGATCCCAAAGAAACTCACATGGCAGCCCTCAAAAGAATCTTGCGATATCTTCGCGGCACTCTTGACTACACGCTTCACTTCTACCGCTCTAGAGACATGTCTCTTATTGCGTACTCAGATGCCGATTGGGGTGGATGCCCTGACACTCGTCGCTCCACCTCGGGCTATTGTGTCTTTCTAGGAGACAACCTTATCTCTTGGTCCTCCAAACGGCAAGTGACAATTTCTCGCTCAAGTGCGGAGGCCGAATACCGGGCAGTAGCTAATGCCGTTGCTGAAACGACATGGGTGCGTAACCTCCTGACCGAACTACTTTGTCCACCGACGAAAGCAACCATTGTCTATTGCGACAATATCAGTGTTGTCTATATGTCGCGCACCAAACACGTGGAACTTGACATACACTTTGTCCGGGACAAAGTCGCCTTGGGACATGTTCGTGTCCTCCACGTCCTGTCCACACATCAGTTTGCTGACGTCTTCACCAAAGGACTTCCGGCCCCTCTCTTTCGAGAATTCGTCTCCAGTCTTCACGTTCGCCCATCTCCCGTTTCGACTGCGGGGGTATATTAGCCGTATATTTATTTATATTAGCCGTATATTTATTTACATATATATTATAGATAAATATTGTATTATTGGTATGTATATCTCCTAGTTCCCTTGTGTAAAGGGTTAGGGTTTTCACACATGTAATATATATATCACAATAAACGTGAGAGATAATTATTCTCTCTTCTCTCAAATTATTCTCCTTCTATCAGTGCTAAATAGAGTACGGACAAACATATAAGGTTAAGTTAAATGGTATGCAATCTTTGATAGTACAAATTAGTTTTGATATTTTTTTTGTAGTATCTCACATAATTCTTAAGCTATTCTAAACTCTAAATAATATTTTTTTCTTATTAAAACAAACTTTTAGAGATTTTCTTTTTTCTTTAAGTAAATAATGTAGGTGTTTTTTTAGAGGAATAAGATATTATTTGACTATATTTTAGTCATCATTTAGCTCAAATAATTTATTTATGATACTTTTTAATTTTTCAATATTCAATCATTTATAGTAATTTGAAGAGAAGAATAAAAATTCACATAAAATAAATAGATAAAATTGAAAAAAATAATTCCGCAACTTATTATATTAGATAAACTAAATAGTCCTAAAATTTGAGGGGCTAAATAGAGTACAGACAAACATATAAGGTTAAGTTAAATGGTATGCAATCTTTGATATTACAAATTACTTTTGATACTTTTTTGTAGTATCTCACATAATTCTTAAGCTACTCTAAACATTAAATAATATTTTTTCTTATTAAAACAAACTTTTAGAGATTTTCCTTTATGTTTTTTTTTAGAGGAATAAAGTATGTTTTCACATTTGTAAAATTGTCACCAAATAATTTAATTAATATTTATTTTGGGTGGATAAGAGCAACTTTGCATATTATTTTTCTTCTTAATACTTACATACATAGCTATCAAAGTACTTTCAATTTTTAAATAATATATTATTCAAAATTAAGTAGATTTGTTTAACTTTCTAATTTGATTTAGATTAAACTTTGGAGGATGTGATATAGACACGACCATGGGCCGGTCCGGGCCGGTTCATTCCGGTTCGCGGTCACTTTTTCCAAAATCGGAACCGGGTCGTACTACACACGGTTCGGCGCCGGCCCGCCGGTTCACTCCAGTTTCGGGCCTATCCTAGCTGGTTCCAGGCCAGCCCGGAAATATATATATATATATATATATATATATATATATATATATATATATTGTTTTTTTAAAATACTTGATGAATAAATAAATTAAAAGAATTACTTTTAAATAGGAAAAAAATAAAACCAAAAAAAATAAAATCACTTGAACTTAATTTTATAGGAAAAAATGGGGTGTGAGGGTATTTATCGAAAAAAATGATGAAAAAAATTCAAAAAATAGCAAATAACGGCCGGTTAATTGGGTCGGTTCAGGTTTTTCTTAATTTGTTTTTTTTTTAAATTTGGGTGAACCTATTTCTAGAACCGGGCCCGGCCCGAGGGTCACAGGCCGGTTCACGGTTCCGGGACCAGTTCAACGGTCAACGTGCCGGTCCGGTTCGTCAACGGGCCGGTTGGGGCCGGTTTCGGGCCGAAAACCGGCCCATGGAATCTGATACATTTAATGTTATTGTTTAGATCAAAATAATTAGTTTATGAAATATTTTTTATTTTATTAATATCATTATATCTACGGTAACACGAGAAGAAGCTGGAGTAGCGAGAACTCATCCACTAATTTTAAGGTTCAATATGCTTTCACAGAGATTATGCATGACCTGCAACTATCCTGCAATTCACCATTCCTGTAATTTTTAGACCTTGACTAACGGCTTCAAGGTCAAAATCGTGAAAACTGACGAAGATGGTTACATTGGGACAATTGTACAAGTGCACGGGGTAAATCAATGCAATTGAGAGTACGAAGTGAGACAGTGAAATTTGGCCTCAATAAAATTATATATTAAATTATAGGATGAAATTTAAAAGTTTGTTTATGGTAGATGAAAGCAGGGGCGTAACTAAGCCACCCCAAAGGGGGAGCTGCCCCTCTAGAACTTTTTTCCTTTCTTTTTTTTTTATTAGTTTTTTATTTTCATTTATATATTTTAGTCTATTTGCCCCCTAAAAAATAACAATATTCACTTATAATGGATATATTTTTTTTTATTTAAGGA